TGAAAGAAGGAAATTAGCTGTCAAATTTACTGCATCGCATATTGTACAAGTAACTCTGTTCTGTATTAAAGAAGACATCCAATAAAAAGAAACTTGTCATTACACTGTGGGAAAATAATACATCCAATAATGACATCTGAGACCTGCAGCTTGTCAGAGACCCTGCAGGAGCTCCTCCATCTGTCCTGTGGATGCTGTTTCTGAGACATTTCTGCTAAAAACAGGATCTCACTCTGTCTTCTGTCTTGCACCTTTAATACATAGGCACCTTTAGAGCATTCACTGTCATTTATACCCGCCTAAACATGCATAATTCAGTGCTTCCCTCTCTGAACTCAGGAAAACATTCACTGATATATCGCAAGGCACTGGTATAAAACATCTACATAGCAGGCACCGGTGCTGCCGTCGGCCTGTGCGGGTTCTGCAGTTGTCTCTTTTGAAACAACACAAAAGCGTATTCAGCGCAGGCGGAGCAGAAGGATGTGACAGATGGATGTGATTTAGGACAATATTCGTCTCTTACTTGAAGTTGCTCCCTCCTGCTGCAAAGTGTCTCGGGAGTCCCAGAGGGCAGCAAGCGTCGATACGACTAGTCAGCGATGGGAGGATTGTACTCTTGGCAGGACGCAGCTATTTATAATCACTCAACACAGGGAAAGTGTCCAATAGTGTTAGGAGCTCCTTATCTCTGGGCTCTGTCAATATTCCTCTGTGTAGGCGGGCAAGTGATGCTATCGCAACGCACCAAACAGCAGCTTCACACGAGGCATGCCACACACATCCAAACACACACAAATACATGCTGAATTCAAACTGCCACTGGTCTCTTTTTACAAACCATTTCTCTGGTTTCTGCCTAATCCAACATACAGATTTGCAAACACTGTTCTCCCTTCCTCACTGCAGCGTGTGTGCTCAAGCAGTAAATTATTCAATAAATTATTCAACCATCTAAAATTTCCCCAATAAATTCACCAGTGAGTTTGATACGAGGAGCCAACACTCAACTAAAAAAGTTGCTCATACTCACTCACTCACTTTCTTTTTTTCTTTTTTTTTTTTTAAAAATAGACTGTTGCTTCAAGGGTTATTTTCTTTTCTTAGTTGCAATCACAGAACTGTGTTTGGTTTCCTTGTCAGCAATCCAGAGAAGATTTCATGACTCGGACCTCAAGAGGATTCAACACAAGATGCAAACCCTGGTAAGCATCAAAAACAAAAAGGTCAGGCTGCAGCTCACAAAAGAACAAACCTGAACTAAAAAAAAAATATTTTAGGAGATCATTTTACTCTATTTTTTGCCTCTTTTTTTCCCCTTTTCTTCAAAATTCTACTGGCTATTCACACTAGTAACTGAGAGGCTTCACCTCACACCACACCAACACTCCCTTATTGATATACTGTATCTATAACACACACACACTTTCAAAACCTGCATCACACAGTTCATTGTTGCCCTGTTAGGTTTTATATCAGTTAAAACCTCCTGCAGCTACTCTCTCTGTCTGTCCTTTGACTGAGCCGTTAACTCACAGCACTTATATATTAGGCTTATAATTGTTCAGACAAGAACAGCCAACTGAACCATTTAATCTTCCAGCTGAATGGTATCTGCCTGCTAAATCAGCTGTGACTGAGGCAATTAGATGAGCTGTTCTTTGGCCAAAACAAGGAAACACACTCAGTTTCATCCTTTACTTTCCCACAGAGGCCTACCTGAGCTACCCAGTATGCATACAGTCGTACTGGTAGTTACTCAGCAGCACCACTGGAGTGACTGACAGTTATAGGGAAAGGAATTTGCACCAACATGATATCTAATTGTGTACACTTAAGTATAATGCTCGATGGCATTAAAAAAATAATAAAAAACCTTTTTGTGAACTTTATGTAACATGGGAAGGGTCGGGGGGGACGGACATTTAATTAGATGTACATTATACAACAGAGGTCCAATATCACCTAAATGCCAAATGATTCTAAATTGTGTCTCCTCACAATAATTGCATTACTTCTAAGTCTAACAGCAGGTATTTGCTCTTGCACAAAATTAAAAAGTAAAAATACAGGCACCATAGTAGGAAGTCAATGCCACAAAAATCAGCAAACCTTTTCTTATTTTACGACATGTGTCCACTGGATCTGGCAAAATCCCGCTTCACATTCATTGTGGATGTGGAACGCCCCGCGTCCTGTTCTGGAGTGTCGCGTTTTCAAGAGAGGAGGCGTAGCGTCGCCCGCGGCCTGCTTACAGCTCATTTGCATAAAGTAGAAGTCAAGTCTACTTTATGCAAATGAAGCACGGGGAGTGGAGGTCCGACGGCTAGCCGTTGTTGAAGTAAAATGAAGACAGATTCAGCAACTGCATAGCCTACTTCAGAAATACATTTGAACGATTTTCGTAATAAAAGTGAAAGTTTGCGGCCGAGCCGCCATGTTGGTTCGCCCCTTCTATAGGACTGGTGAATGGGAGAGCGGCTGTCATGTGACCACCTACTGGCCCGCTAGTGCACGTCTATCAAGTGGGCGATATTCAGAAGCAGTGCGATCCCACATGGGCAAAATCGACCCAGTTGACACGTATATCTCTTTTTTTCCCAATATTTTGTACATATACCTTTATTTTTGATCACAGACTCACTCACTGGCATGTTTTGAAATGTTCATAAGAGAACACACACCAATTGTCAAATTAGAAATTACGCACTCATGAGGTGTTGCAGTTTGAATCATTTGACTTTGAAGTGATATGGCACAGGGGTGTAGTCACTTCTGTTGTATACTACACCCATGCAGAGAGCAATCCCAACATATACTGATAGACTGGTGCCCAGACTTAAATAGACTTTGTCTTGGCAGAAATAAAATATTTGTAGAGCTTTTTCTGACATTTTTGAAGTTCTTAGTATTTTTTTCTTTTATACAATTTGAAAAGAAATTCTGNGGGGTGTAGTCACTTCTGTTGTATACTACACCCATGCAGAGAGCAATCCAAACATATGCTGATAAACTGGTGCCCAGACTTCAATACACTCTGTCTTGGCAGAAATAAAATATTTGTAGAGCTTTTTCTGACATTTTTGAAGTTCTTAGTATTTTTTCTTTTACACAATTTGAAAAGAAATTCTGAGTTGTGTTGGAAGCTGCCTTTGAAGAAAGAACAGCAGGAAGGAACACAGGCTCACATCATCTGCAAAGAAATGACATTTCACCCCTGCAAATGTCAACACAAGTATGCATCACAATAACGTTGCGCTGTGACTATGAACTTTACCTCCACTTAAACACTCATTGCCACTCAATTGAGCTTAAATTAATTCCAGTTAGATATAAAGACCAGAAGGTACGATTCAAAAGTCTAATTCAAGCTACAACAATGATCTCCAGCAGGAATTCAGAGCCAGCCTTGGTATGGCATATGGCTGAGCTGCTTTAAATAGAAATGACACACAAAGCCTATGCATTTCAGTTGAAAATTGGCACCACCGACATGCAAGACTCATCACTTAACATTTGCTATGGTTACCATTAAACTGACCTGGATAAAGCTGCCAGTGTCTAAACATCCAATTCTTCTTCTTCACAAAGAGCTTATAATGAGTATGCAAGAGTCTAAGTGGAGTATTTATAAACCCTTGATGCTAAACCCATTATGAGCTTTGAATATTGTATTTCAGAAGTGTGGCTGGCAAATGAATATGTCATTAAGCTCCTGTATGTCAGAGAGCATAAGAAAGGTCTTTGATATTCTCAAGTTTTAACAGTTTCACATGTGCAACATAGAATTAAAACCATTTTATATTAAGATGTTGTTGGAATCTAGAAATGAAAAGTACAAATTTGTGTTTGGGTTGATCTTAACGGCATTCAACACACCTGTCCTGCTGGGATCTTCACTCTTTCCACGGAATTAGGCAAAACTGATCTGTTGCACCTCACGACACTGATGTACCCACTAGCAGCTCAACCTACACTGAACAGCACACAGAATCCTGCCATAATTTTTTCAGAACCTCGACAAGATATTTAGACGTTAATAATATTCCCATTACACAGATGGTGTGCATGAAGGAGCCATGCTCCAAAACTAAAGACATCTCCCTCAAATTTCCTTACAAATTGTTTTATGGGTGCAGAGCTGCTAACCCAGCGGGCAAGTGCCTCGTAACTGCTGGCGGTGCCACCAGCAAAGTCCGAACTGGCCCAGCTGTCACGCTGGGAAAACAGAATCAAGCGTGCATAAAGTCATTTCACAACACCAGGCTGCTTAAAGCAGCCAGATCTGCTGCAGCCATCACTCCACGTATTTGTTCAGCAGAAATACTAAATTCTTCAGCACAGCAGTTCCCGCCTGGTTTGCGGCATTCATAGTCACTAATCATGTTAAACAGTAGAGAAGACATGAATCGGAAGCTATATAAACAAGCCTCTAAGCATCAGGCTGGAGGCTCAGCAGGCTCATCTCATCTCCTACCACACTGCTAAACCGCTCCATCCGAGCCTAAGTGTATGAGGGCTGGTGTGGAGGCCGGCTGCACTGGGGATGGGAGAGCTGTTAACGCTCTTTAGAAAACAAGAAATGGAAACAAAAACAAAAACACATAAACAAAATGACACAGGAGAGCAACAGCCTTCACCCATTAGAAACATCTTTTTAATTAGCAGCCCCAGAGGCTTTAAGGATGTTTTGATCCTAATTAGACACCAAGTGAAAATTATTGTGAACATCCACAACTAAATTTCCTTTCTGTGATTAGAGATCAGTTTAAGTTGGAATCTATTAATGCTTACATCTCATGTTAGAATATACAGCATGATGACAGCTGAAGGACGGAAAAGCTCACAGTTCTTTAAACACAAGGGGAAAGGTGACTATCAGCATTAACTGAAGTTTGTCAGAAACAGAAACAGTTTTAGCTTCTGTCACTGTGACTCTCTAAACTCAGCACACAGCAGGTTGTTTTCATGACAAAAGAATGATGCTGGTTGAGGCTTACCCTGTAGTAGTCACTGCTGTAGATGTCCCTGGACATGCCAAAGTCTCCAATCTTGACCAGGAGGCCGTTGCCAACCAGGCAATTCCGGGTTGCCAGATCTCTGTGCACAAAGTGCTGGGAGGCCAGGTAGACCATGCCTGAGGCAATCTGGGTGGCGATGTGCAGCATCTGGGAAAGTCCAAGCTCTCCGTTGGACTGCAGCGGCTGGCCGTCTACCAGGATCATGGCATCAGGGCCGTGGGCTCTGGGTTACAAAGAATAATGCACATTGAATTTATGAACTGGAGTTGATGATATAGCTGTCTAGTCTCAGTTTTAAAGCACAAATGTGTCACTTTGGCTTAACAACAACCCCTGTGTCAACAAATAGCAATTATAGGATGATGAAATGTTTATTTGTGACATGGAAGCCTCTTAAACTGATGTAAAGTTTGCTACTAGTAGCCCCAATAATCTACTAGTCGTACCAGAACTGCAGCAGCAAAAACCCCAAGAGTCCTAAATTAACAATGTGGGCATTTTTTTGCGTAAGAAATCTTTGAAGTTGACATTCATTTCTCATTTCAAAGGTTTCATAGTCTCCCTTTTAAAAGCTGGATATAAGAACCTCTTTCAGGATGACAGAATGTAACCAAGCTGCCCATATAAGAAGTAACCCAAAGCTCCTTACAGTCCTAATAAACCCGTATCCTGGCAATATTGGTGTCTTTTTCTGCCTAGTGAGGATAATTAGCATATTAATGAGAGACCGTTAGAAATATTAACAAATTAACTATAACCTGCAAGCACTCAGGCAGCTTTAATTGCAGTGATAAATTGTTATGTGTCTGCACTGTTCTTATTAATTCAGTGGCTGTAATGTGAACATTAGAGCAGCTTCCCCCCCAAACCTTCATGTATTGCACCCTGTCAGGAATTTAAAGAAAGCTCTAGAATTTTACTGAGGCACTGTAAGCTCAACTTTTACCAGATCAGGTTGACTGCAGGTTTCTGGGTGACGATGAGGAACTCATTTCCTGTGAAGATTTCCCGCTGTTCTCATCACCTTCTCGTCACTGTGATTACAGACCAGGCACCACGCAGCGAAGACTGCAGCTCTCGCACCCGCTCTCTGGTTGTCTTTCTATCTCCGTCTCAGGATTTTAGTGCAATTCACTGTTCTTTGCTTGAGGAGTGTGAGCAGTAATTCAGCTCCATTAGCGGTACTTTTTCTTTGCATGTGTCTTTTGTCTCCTCTTATTTTACAGACATCCACTGGTTTCTGAATAAGTGCTGGCTGCCCTCCGTTTATCTGAAGGTTGAGTTGGACTCGCACATCAGATCTTCTGTGAACTCCTATTGATTCTCTGCACATCTCATCTCTTAAATGTGACCAACAGGACCAACAGACCAAGAATCAGCCACGTCTTGCACCTTGCATGAAAGAATTTCATCATTCGCGACATTGCCTTTCATTTCAGGAATGATTTCCCAACAGAAAGTCTTCACGCACTCTTGAATGCACACACACATTCGCACTCACACTTAATCGTAACGTGTCATCTTTTCAACTATCGCTGAAATTTCAAAAACAAGATAGACCACACATATGCACGCACACTCACGCACGCACACCTCAACACACTTGAAATAAAAGTCTTGTGTCCCAGACTCTGTCTGTGCACACTCACATCAACTCCAGTGAAGCTTCCATTACCAAAGTGCTCGCTGTACCGGCATCTTGTCGCTTTTGTTGAGGCTTATCAGAGGTCACTTCCCTCGGTACAGTCTGACATTACCGAACAAAAGCACTAAAGCACTCATGTTTGCTAACCCAGAAAGCTGTAAAGCGGGCCGGATATTATATCAGCAGTAGAAATTTGACGAAATAATTCTGGCTTACTTGGACTCCAAGTAAAGTTTTACCTTTGTCAATAAGTTGGTGGACAGTCCTGTCTAACAATCCAACTAGTACCTTGAGTGAAGATGCCCCTAGCAGAGCTGGCACTCCCACATGCATTGGCATTGTAATTATGCCTTCACCCACTACTGTGGTTTGCTACTCTTCATTTATCTTATGAATATGCAATTCACTTGGCCAGGACTAGCCTGCTACCTTCAGTGAAAAACTGACCTGAGGAATTTGTTGAGGTCTCCATGCTTCATGTATTCGAACACCATAATAAGAGGGTCTCCGTCTACACACACTCCATAGAATTTAACAATGTGGTCATGCTGCAGGTTGGTGAGCAGCTCCGCCTCCCTCTGGAAGTCCTTCCTGGCAGACAAGTTGGGATCTTTGAGAGTCTGAAAAGGAAAATAAAAAGTCAGTTTAGAAGTGGTAAACATTAGACATTCATAATGATCCAACAAGACCTGATTCAGTCAGCTAATGCATCCATTGCAACCCTTCGCTTGATGTTTCCAAAAAAGCAAAGTCTGGCACAGTGTGGAAATCATTCAACAGTGAGGCATGAACTTCTTCATGATGCAACAGTGGTTGAAGAAAGTTCTTGGACGTAGACATGAACATTTCTGACTTGATGAATTGACAGAAAACACTTGACCAAGCCATTATTTGGGGATTTTTGAAGCCAAAGACGAAACTCCTTTCAGACTCTCTCCGTTAATCTGATGGCATCCGAACATGCGACTTCATGTTTGAATAAGTACCATGTCGTTTTTCTGTTAAAATGGCCGTGGCAACCTTGCAAGGTTGGACCAATAACTTTTCTATGTCACTTTCAACACGGCATGCAATTGCACTGACGGATAGTACAAGGATAAAGTACTGATGTAGGACATTGTTATGGGACACATGGCCTCATGTGTTACTTATCACCTGATGTACTGTCCAAGCTCACATGTATGGAAATTATGTCTTGTATATCACAGCTCTCTCCATCACTTTTGTGGGTATGTTTGAAGTAAGCTGTAGGAATATTAACATAAAAGTCACCTGCCACTGACAGAATGTTGCCACTTTAACAGATTGATGAAGCCTGTAATGTTTATATCCCATGTCTGAAAAGGATTTTAGTATCCGCTCTCAACTGGTTCATGCTAGACCTCCACTTTGAGTCTTTCAAAAAAAGCACCATCATGAGTCACATCGGTCGCTGTGTCCAGCCCTTGAATTGTGCTGCATTGTTTTACATCTTCTAGTTTTACATTTACACCTCTTTCTTATGCTGAGGTGTGTCCTTCCTCTTTTCCCCGACTTTCTTTCATTATCCAATTTGTAACCTTCATTTTGGGTTGATTTATTCACTCGGCACGCCCAAGTTGTACTTCAGTGTTAGCCAGCCAGTTGTTCTGTCATCCGAAGACCCTTCATGAGCTCGACAGTTTAGGATTTGAGTGAAGTGAAAGCAAGTTAATTCCAGTGCTAATAAGCAAGTGTTAGCATGCTAAACTGAGATGGAGAACAAACTAAATACTGTCCTCTAAAAATCAGCATGTCTTTATTTTCATTTCTCTGCGGCAGAAATGAGAGGCTGAAGCCAACTAAGCCAGATTTTCATTTACAAGGTACTGCAAATTTGGAATGAAATTGGAATCCACTACTAACATCCGAATATTATGAGGTATATAAACACCCGATGGCACTAATTCTCCAGTGGGGTATCACTAAACCATCGCAAAGGGGGGTGCAATTAGGTATTTTATTTAAAAATGTTACTCAAACTCTATGATAACATAGATAGAAATATGGCATTTCTGTTTCTTTTCTATAATTACACGACAAATGTTCAAGTTTCATCATCTTTCTGCACAGATTTGATGTTTTCTTTTGATGCTATTTTTACATAAGAAGCTTCAGGGGACCTTTACGTCACATGTTTTATATATGCCATAGTTTATTTTTGAAGTTTTCTTTCCTTTGACATTTGTGTGCACAAAAGCAGGTGGATGGAAATGCACTTTTCATTTTCTTGGCACTACTTTACACCTCTTTCATACACCAGCTGTTCTCTTTTGTCCATGTGTCCATGTTGTTGTAGAGCTAGACTGAGCGCTTTTACATCCGTCCTCACCACCACCAGCACCGAGACTCCATATAAACAGGAAAGATAATGCGGGGAAATTGTTAGTATTCAATTACTGGGTTCTCCTAATAGACATAGGTAAACACAATACTGAGTTCATATCAAATAATGTTTTTCTCCAGTGACGTAAGATATAATGACTTCTCAACAGATAAAGTGAATAACATTGATTGTCTGGTAGCAACAGGATCAGCGACACACTCCATGGTAACAGCCAGTTCATATTGCCATCATGTTGGATGAGTGAGAAATAGACATAAAAACCTAAGCATGTTTGACGTCAAGCCATGAACTAGAGACAACAGGTAGATATTCAATCTAAGCTGCCCCCAACTCACAACTTACAGAACTTAAAGGATCTGGTGCTAACATCTTGGTGTCTGATAGTTTTACTGCTCACATTACATCTTGTACACAGTACTGAAGTGAGCAATCACTATACCTGCAATGTTCAGGGAGCACAGGAGGAGCTGGTTGTACCCACTGCACACTCATCTGATTATTAACAGACTCAAGCAGGGAAGGACTTTGAACCCTTTTGAAGCAGGGTGCACATAAATACCAAATCGTGATGGGATGTCAGTTAAAGTCACCAGTATCGGAAAATAAATCAAATAACAGCAATAATACGCCTTATTGCAGCCTCTCTTGGAGGAAAAAAAAAAAGACTCTTGACACTTCATCAGCAACAGGAAAATACACTTAGTTGCTGCTTTTGATCTCCTCGGTCTCAAGTCCTGCTTTCCCAGCTTGCTGTTGACATTATTACAGATGGAGTGACCTTGGGATGGAAACGCATTTACTCGTATATGCTCTTCTCGCGGTGAAGTGTTGGAGGTAGTTCAGATGTACGGCAGAGCAGGTAAAATGGCCATAAAATTCTATTACCAAATCAAACTGCACTCTTAAGGAAATGTTTCTTGTCTGGGCATTCCTCCAAAACAATACCTTCAAAAAGCTTGACTACAATAAATTGAGGGAAAGCGCTGCAATGAATTTTCCCTTTGCTGACCTTTATGTGTATTCAGAAAGCTTCTTCCTGCTTTATCACTGGCAGGAACATGTTCAGATGGAAATGCACATGGTATTGTAATTTAAAAGGGTCACTGTAGAGGAGGTTTATTATCAAACCCATTGACTATTTTGTTAATCCTGTAATACTAAGAAAAGAAAGTGTCAGCTGGATAGTCTGCCACTTTCACTAACTTCTCCTGTTGTCAAGGTCATGATGGGTTTCTCCTCTTTTCCCCCCTTTGGTAGCTTTGCTGAGTCTGCAATCTGTTATTAAGAGCCACCCCGTCTTACATTCATACAGTTCTTAATATTCACACTGGGAGCAGCCAAGTACAGCTGTTCTGTGATAGAACTGAGAGCTGCTGCACAGGGACAACGGTTGTAAATGCTTTAAAGGAAATCATCAAGTTCACCGGGATATTAATTCACATCTGAGTAGCCAATACTCCATACAGGGAATAAAGACTCATAGAGGTCAGGGCACCTCGCCCAAAGATCAACATTACCGTTTACCCAAGGCAAGTAAACTCTGCGCTTGGGCAACTGGAGTGCTTCATGCAGTTGTTCAAATGGACAAGTAAAAAAAAGAAGCAATGTCTTTATCCAAGTTGGAAACGGTTATTTTTGTTGTTAGATGGACAATAGCCATCCAGTGGTTGAGTCCGTCGACCAGTCGAAGGCTGTGCTTTGGATTGTATCGCAGCTCTGATTTCAAACGAACTCAAAGGAATGAATGAGCGAATGCCTTGTTTTTGGCTCAAAATGTTCCTCTGATAATCTAAAACTGGCCAAGTACCAGGCAATACAAGGCACTAAAATGAAATGGAAAACAAATGCCTGATGAAAGAGAGGTGGTCAGAGATGAAAATGTAGCTTTTTAACTCTTACTACCCCAGTCCATACACTGGTACCAGGTTATATTTCTAAGTCAAACACAATTAAAAATAGTTTTGGTGAGTTTTGCCATTTGTATTATTCATTTTTGCTGAACTCTGTGGAGTACGTCACAGATAACTAAGGACCGTTTGAGCACTCAGTATATATATATATATATTTTAGAATATTTTTACATTAGCAAATATCTATTGTGCTTCAAACTGTGCGACATGGTCGGGATTTCGCTCACACTAAGCATATGGAGGAATAGCATTCACAGAGATAGGTATCTTCTGAAATGGACTGTTTACTCCTGCTGTTTTCCATTAACGGCAATACTTTGTGAAATATACTTATTCAGGTAAATGAGAAAATCCATGTCACTCTCACGTCTGTGTGGTAAATATGGAGCTGGAGCCAGAAGAGTGTAGCTTAGCTATTGTGCCAGACCATTAACTCAACTTTCAGACGCAAGAGTTGTGTAATTTTTGCATCTTTATCTCCATGTCTTCTGCCATCGGGGTCATTTCTGAGAGCACTGTATTGATCTTAAGCTTTTGAGCAACAAAGAAGAACTCCAACTTTGTCATTTTCAATTTTTGTCCTGTCTACATAGGAGGTGCAATTGTGTCACATTGTGTAGACAGTCCAGTTTTTCTATGATGTGCTTAGTGTGGAACAAGATGGGTTTTCTATTAAACTGGAATGGAAACATACATTAGTTACATGTATGTTCATAAATCAGTTTCAGACCAACAGAGCAGATTCACTGACCCTTTGTGACAACTGTGAAAAATGTTAATAACTAAGCAGAGGTGAGCAGTAACTGGTTTATTTAGTTGTAATTAATATTTTATGCATTCATTATTCAGTTAAGGGGCTGGTCTGCTGATCCCAGACCTGCTGACGCTCTGTATATACAGTCTACACAGCATATTATGCATCAAAGCTTCCACCACTCCTGCTTTCTTGCCTAATTTAAATATTGGAGCTAATGTTGTGCATCTTTCATGCAGCCTGATGAAGAGACTAAGTTGGAGGGAAATATGCACGTAAAAGAACACAGATTATTTAAATGAGACATCTGATACTGGCTGTATATTCTTGTTTGTTTAAATCTTTTACCAGCCATTCCCCTATAGTATGTTAGAATTATGCAGTTATAAATGTGTAGCACACGGCTTTGCATTACTGCTTCATGAAACATCTGTTATTCAACTGCATAAATCAAAGTCATATAATATAATATAATATAATATAATATAATATAATATAATATAATATAATATTTTAATCATATGGAGATAACGTCCTCTGTTACAGTAATGTTTTAAACAAATAACCTGCATCTTCCTGCTGATAAGTTAGGATAAGTAAGCTGATAAACATAAACAATCTTGAACATTTTCACCATAAAAGCATCAAGCTAATGTACTGCTACAACACACAGATGATCAGTCTGATTGCAACAATGACTACGTTGTCCATTTTTAAATCAGATTTCTGTGGTGGCATCAGGTCATAAACTTTCTTCATAAATGTGGACGTGTGTTTCCACCTTTGCAAAATCATTAGTGGGCTGTCTGAACCAATCTGAGCCAAACTTTTGAGTTTAGTTTAGCACAGCTGGTAACAGTGATTGCAAGTTAAAAGACAACCACAAATGAAACAACCAAAACAACAAAACAGAAAGTGAAATTCACATTCAGAATGTAGACATCAAACTAAATAACAAACAGTCAAAACACTGCACTTTAAGTAAAATAGGGAATGATTATGGACACAGCCCATTTCTATGAAGGGTGCAGTGATTTCCAGGAGTCTTGTCATCACTGTGAGGTTGCCAGGCAACTAGCGAGATACCAGAAAGATAGAGCGCCCAGCCAAGAAAAAGTCCAGCTCTTCTCCCCTCTGAAACCACAACTTGTTGTTACTCTTGGATTTGTGTACCAGTTAAACAAAATAGATTGTTCTGTCCTAACCTATTCTAGTGTTCTATGTGTGCAGAATGGGTGCCTATCCTGGTTCTTGGCTGCAAACACAAAGAATATGATTGGAAGAGGGCCCGGTGCGGCTCTCCAATCAACTGGTGTCAGTTTTTTTTCAGTACCACATACAGTATATGCCATTGAATTGTAATTTGGGATGGCTGTGATACTGTGTAAGGCCTTTATGTTGGGCTATAAATAAACATATTCACCCATATCCATCTGTTTTATGTCGCTTTCTTTTCCCCTGTAGTAAGCTGTGTAGTGCCAAGCACATAGCTTGTTATTCAGCTAGCTTTAGAGTGGCTCCTTTTGCTTCCAGTCTTTATGCTAAGCTAAGCAAACAGGGTGCTAATGGTATCTAAATATTTAGCATACAAACATCAGAGTAATCCCAATCCATTCTTAAATGCAACTTGTAACCCACATGAACCCACCCAGGACCACACATTGACCTCATATTACTGACATACCTTCACAGCCACCAGCATCTTGTCCTTGGTGGGGCTGAGGTTGTAACACTCTGCCAAGAAGACTTTACCGAACGCTCCCTCGCCCAACTCCCTCTTCAGGATGATGTCTCTCCTCTTTATATGCTGGACAACTAAAACCAAAGAAAGAGAAAGAGACAGAGTGAGACATTTTTTAATACCCTATCATAGAAATTGAGCTGGGGTTCATTTTATGAGATGTGTGCTGTATTGGCAGAAAAATGTGTGTAGAGAGAACATTTCACCACCAAATGAATATTTTGTCACTGTCTCTAAAGCATGGGATTGAATAAATTACCAAAGAGTGACAGGAAGGTAATGGTAAAATACAGAGAAAGAGAGAGAGAGAACGTGAAGACTGACAGGATGCAAAGCGAGGAGGGGAGATACAGTGTACTGGCAGCTGTAAGTGTAGCTACACTTTAGTATTTTACATTCTAGTCCAGATCTCAGGATCTCTAAAGATGCAGTAGCAAACATGTCGAGCTGAATTACAGGGTAGTTTTTGCAAAAAGATATCTCCAGACATCTGAAATTCTCTGCTGTTATGGTGAATCCATTAAAGAAAGAAACTTGAGTATTTGAATATTTCTCTCAATATATGTGTGATCCAGCTACTAAAACAGAGAAACCAACAGAATGTATGATGTTGTCAAACTGTGTAAAAAATGTTTTATCTAACTTTGAAGCTACTTAAGAAAGAATACTGGGAGCATTAGGGTTCAAGTGGTTTTAAATCTCTGAAGCGCAAATAAACTGCAAGATGACACTGGACCTGCGGAGCTGCACATCTCTTATCTGGATTGCTGGATTTTTACTGTCGGCACAGAAACACCACAGGAGGACAATTTCTAATGAGAGCAGAGCTGTAAAATGTTTATTTCTAAAAAAAAAAAAAAAAAAATGTCTTCGAGAAAAATGTAAAAATGAGCTAAGCAGAGTGAAAAAACAAGATCATTTTGGAGTTAGAGGAAAGTAAAGTTGGTGTATTTTCTGGGTCTTGTGACCTGAGATGACTCTCTTCCCTTCCTGTCATTGCTTGTAATGTTTGTAATCCCAGAATTGAGGCTTAACCCTCAATTGATTATCCTTTAAAAAACTGGTGGATCCTGCAAATCTGAACACAGAATAAGTGACAAAAGACAGAGGCATAAGAAGAGGTAGAAATAGCACGAGAGGAAGCCCAGTATGAAAGATTTGGGGAGCTGTAGGAGTTGTTTGGCTTTTGAACAGGACTGCTCTTCGTGCCTCACTCTGAATAAAACATGACAGCTTGTAGGTTTACCATGAAAATTGTACTGCTGCCATAAATCTGCACACGTACAGTACACATTTTCCACTGCATTTAAATAAAGATCACCGCTGTATTCGAGGCTGGGCGCCATAGCACAGTAGTACTATAAAATATGAATGAAATGAAATGAGCATGTTTAATGCATTGCAACAGAAACAGTAGTATAGGTGAATGGCCAAAACCGCTATTAAATTTTAAAGCAGAAATTACATTAAATGTGAACATTTTAAATGAAACAATTCTCTGACCATAACTGCTTACATATTACACAAAGGAGGAGGATAACAATTTTACCTATGTCTTTCTGAACCTTTCTGGAGTTAAGATTTGACTATAAAGGTGTACCAGTACCCACCTCATAGGCAATAACTAAAGGGGAAATGTAAGATAATATCTAATATCTAATCTAAAAAAGGATAATCCAAGGTTCAGTTGTGCATCTTTCACCTTGTGGGAGAGAGTCACATCTTGTGTATTGGCAGGTATTAAATGTCTTTGGACAATTATGTTCTATCATGTGCAAGTCTTTATTTGTGCAGCTGCTTCGGCAGGAGCTTGATGATTGACTGTGATGCTGCTGAGATGTGATGCGTTATTCTCGAAATACATCTTCAGGCTCTCTATATATTCTTGTTAGATAAATCACCAAGTCTAACGCGTCCTTAGTAGACAAGCAAACTTCCAGGATTTTAATCCCTCCTCCATCTGTGCCGTCTTTGTTTTCATTAAGGCAGACTTGATGGTTGTATAAGTGTGATAGAAAATATGCCACTGAAGACTCAATGGCACACACGGCTGTGTATGCTGAGAGAACACTGATGTGTACAGTTTGAGCACACGGGCTTTTGTGTCTATTCTTCTAAGACCTTGTGATCTCTTTCTGCAGATGAAGTGACTTGTGGCTGAGCCTGCCTCCCCGAGTTATTGTTTGTACGACTGTTATAGTCTTAAACAAAGATAATGATTTAAATTGTTAGATGAAACAACAGACCCTTGATTTCAGACAGAAGTGTGATAAAACAGCCCTCTTATTAGTCAGTAGCCATGCATTTTTATGGTGAAATTAACAAGCGTTGCTAGCAGATTTTATTAGCGGTAGCTCGCTGGCTAATAAGGCTAGCGTCAACTTAATAGCTAAAAATGTAATTACTGGCTGAATTTGACCTCTGACTTGGTTTTAAACAAGAACACTCTAAAACATATCAATGTTTAAAAGAAAAATGCAAAAAAAAACAATATTTCATCAAAAAGTTGTATAGCATTAGCTAAAGGTAATAACGTTTGGGCATGCAACACCAACTGCTGTTTTGCAGCTACGCCACTAATATTGCTCTCATATAATAGCATCTAGAATAGCTTGCATACAATAGGGAAATGCTATGGTGCTTGTGCTAGTTGTAGACACAACTTGCGCCAGCCATAGTGCAGGGTAGTGAGCTAGTTAGCTGGACATGCTGATGTTTTCAGCTCATGCTAGCCAGACCATTCTCTACTGCTGACCCAGTACTGTGTAGAAGGGTCTGTCTGCACCTTAGTTGTATGAAATAGAAAGAAAAAAAACAACAAAAAGAAGCCCTGGATTGTTTAGACCCATCAAAGCCACCTTGGCTGGCGCTAAGAGCATGATGCTAATGTGATGTCCACTCAAAATAGAGACAAGGGAATTGTTTTTGGTGGAACGTTTGCACAGAGGAATATGAGCACTGCAATTAAAACAGCTAATTCACTAAAATAAAGAAAAATAAAAAAGTAGCAGGGATGGTGTAAGATCCAATCCTTCAACGAAACTTGAGATTTTCATTGTGTCAAGCGGTTGCTTCGATGGTAGTCTGTTTCCTGTAGGGAAAGGGATTTTGAAAATGGCAACACGCATATAACAAAAGGGCAGCAGAAAGCCAAATGAACCGTACATCTGTTAAACCAGACTAAGGAGGAGGTAGAATAAGAAACCAGTGCCCAAGCTCTTTATATATGGGGTCTTGCTTTTACGATAGCCGAATGCAAATTGCTTCAACCTGCGACAATCCAATTTCAGATTCAAAAGCTCAATTTAATTACTACATACTGCATCTGAGGTGTGGTTACTGCGCCACAATGTTTGGTCCCCTGCTGGTTGCAGTTCATTTATTCAAACTGTTCCCTACTTGCCACCGCTGATCCCATTGTGCAACCTCAGTGCCTACTTCTCGGAGAAAATAAATGGGAGGAAGTGGCTGCAGCGATTTCTCACAGTTTAGGGCTATCACATTTCCTGATTTGTCAATAGAACATGCAAGAGTGCAAGCCTGTGCGAGACCACAGCTAATTCAAACAGCCCGATGCTCATATATTGTGGCAATTTAATTCAAACAGGTCATTACAGTTCATTTATTTTCTGTGCTCAAACTAATTTTGAAAAAAAGCAACAAAAAAAAAAGCGCCAGTCTTATCACAGTGCAGTGTTTGGCATGGCTTAACCCAAATGGAGTTCACCAAATGCTCCAACAGTTCTCTGAAATGTTTCCTCATGTACAGATTACAAGTTCAGTCTGACGATTCCTCAGGTTTTGTTTTTTTCTTTTTCTTTTCATATTTGCATGACCATCTGGCCGTGAACATTTTGAGAAGGTGATTCATAAAAAATGTCACCTGTTCCTCTGGTGTACCGTCAGACCGTATCATAACTGCTATTTCTGAAATCACTGTTAAATATGAAGAAATGTCCCAGTTTTAAAGTAGATCAGAACAGAAGTGTCTGCAGAAACTGGCAGCCACTTTGCTGGGTGAGAGCCCCACCAGGGACACTAAGACATCACTGCTGTCAAAGCTTCATCCTCTGAAAAACTGCTCTCCAAGAGGGGAGAGGAAAAAAAAGTCGATACACATACATTTTAATTCAAAATGTGTTTTGACTGGATTTGATAGGCCAAATGTCTCTGACACTGTCTCAACTGATAAAGGTCTGAGGAGTTTCCAGACTGACACAACATCTTTTCCCCCAGTGAATCCCATCTCTGCTTCTGGTATTATATTTTCCTTAAGCATTCCGAATAATTTTTCTCTTCATTTCTTGTGTTCATTCCTTCGCTGGCACTCCTCCATTAGTCATGATCATTGAAAGATCAGCGTTGGCCTTACTATCAGGCGCCTGTCATCATCCAGCTATTGAAGCTTATTCTGCTGTTGCACCCGTCATTAAGCGTCTCTGGATGAGATAGTTAGTGAAATGCCAAAAATGTAAAAATGTAAAGGTTGTCATCTATCAGCAGGTGAAGGCTCAGGAATGTTTTTAGCCACATAATGTCAGACTGTAAAACATTTACTTTCCTTTTTTTCTCACTTTTTCTCAGAAGTTTGTGCTCGATTGTTATCTTTTATGTTATTTTCTCCTTTCCAGTGAGGTCAGGTGATATTTCATATCTTATCTCACATGTGCAAATTGGAAATCTGCATTAGTTTTAATCATATTTTATCAGTTTTATCTTTACGTCTATCTTTTTCATTATGCAAATTAACGAAACTAAAGCACATTAAATGTTAAAAAACTATTTTTAGCAAATCATGCCTCTCAAATACAGACAATCTACCTGAACTGGATTCTATATGAACTCTTTTTGCACTTTACTCTGAGAACTGTTTCCATTCTGTTCTCTTTAAGTCATTAAGTTGCAAGAGGCATAGTTCAGTTTACATTTTAATAGAAAATATTCTAAACGTTCCTTTACTGTAAGTTTCAAATTGTGTTAAGACAAAGAAAGCGCTAATCTGACCTCCCTCATGTATGACAAGTTGTGTGGACAGAGCCAACTTAGTCGACAGATTTGAAACTTTTTGAGACATAATTCTAAAAAGACACTCTAGCATACATATGCAAATACACTGAACTACTAATACATTTGACTAGTCATACTCACACTGCTGAAGTGTGAGTACGTGTGATGCATTATTATGTGTAGTTACTATTGTGTGTGTGTGT